AGGGGAGGGAAGGGAAGGGAAGGGAAGGGAAGGGAAGGGAAGGGAAGGGAAGGGAAGGGAAGGGAAGGTGCTGGCAAAATCAACAGATGGATGACCAGTGGGATATACCTCACAGGGACCTGGTGAAGAGAAGACAGGAGATGTAGGTGACTCATATCAGTCTTGCCCTACTTGTTCTGTAAAATCACTTCAAGATGCATCCAGATTTTGTTTCACCCAAAATCTAGGACAACCAGCATGTTTCAGGTTTTATTCCTTCCATGCCACAACCAATTTGAAATGATTCAACAGAACTTCTAGAACTATGTTCCAAGTTTGAAGCAAAACTTGTTTTCCATTTTGTGCACACCCCAGTAATCTTTTTCAGGTCAAGAACTGCAGCTGGCCTTTCAAAAGCATGCTTCCAGCTAACTCCAAAAAGAGGCAGAGCAAGGGGGAAATAGGCAAAATTTGATAAATACATTAAATCAATACTGTTCATATGATTATTCCTCATGTTTTCTCTTAAATTAAAATTACTCCTCATAATTTTCTCTTAAAATTCACAACTTGGTGGCAACGTTTGGAGGGGTTCTGGAAGCCACACCCAAGTTTTGAGGAAATGAAACTATACATGCCCCTTTAACTTCCTGTCCCTCTAAATGTTAAGCCCCTCATTCCCTCTCTCAAGTCCAATTTATACAGGTAGTCCTTGGCTTACAACCACAATTGGGGCCGGAACTTCTGTTACTAAACGATGCGGTCATTAAGTGAGTTGCACCTGATTTTACAACTTTTGCCATGGTCGTTAAGCAAATCACCAGTCGTTAAGCGAATTACATGTTGTTAAGCAAATCCAGCTTCCCGCATTGACTTTGCTTGTTGGGAGCCCCCTGGGAAGGTTACAAATGGTGATCACATGACCCAGGGAAGCTGCAAGTGTCGGAAATACAGCCAGTTGCCAAGCACCCGAATTTTGATCATGTGACCGTGGGGATGCTGCAACAGTCATAAATGTGAGGACCGGTTGTAAGTCACTTTTTTCAGCACCGTCGTAACTTCGAATGGATGTTAAACGAATGGTCATAAGTTGAGGACTACCTGTAACTCATGGTACATTTGGCAGATTCACATTTGAACAACAACCCCAACAACGTTAAAGTCTTATCCTTTGCTTCTGATAATGAATCAATTGCTCTGAGGAAACAAACAATTCTAAAAGGAAGGAAGGGAGGAGAGAAAAGTCATACTACCTGCAATTTTTTGGAAACCACACATATAAACCTGTGGTCCTGAAGAAAATTATCTGAAGCAAGAACAAAATATTCTAAAATAGTCTTTCCAAAATCTGGGTCCTCAGTTGTTCCTATCAGTCCCAATGGTTTGCCATAGGAACTATATAACTATTGGGTCAAAAGATCCAAGATTGGGAAAAAATGGTAATAGAATTGTTTTCAATAAATAAAAAAACACTAACATTTTCATACTTACTGCAAGACTGTATTCTGGATATCCCATTACTGGCTCCATGCAAGTTAGAATCAAAACTTAGACTGTTCCTCACAGAAACTGCGGGGCTACCGTTGGTATTGACATAAAGTGTACTTGGCGTTCGAGCTAAATTAGGCATGCTTCTTCGGAGTTTGTCTGCAGCAAAAGTAAGACATTTGCATTGTCTGGAAATGCATTCAATTTCAGGCATGAATTTCAAAGAGAGAAAGCTCTTTTGGATTGAGCCAAAAGGACCAGCTGATGTGAGTTTAGTGGGATTTACAGGATGCAGCTGGTCAAGCTGGACAATGGTAAAATCCTTATCTGTTTTGATTTCACCATGCCAATTTCTATGGCAATACGTTAACTTAGAAAAAGCAAATAATATGCTTTTTACACTAGGATCCCATTCCTAGGATGGGAATGATGGTGACTATGATATTCTGAAAAAGAAACAGAAGAATTTGCCCTACATGGCTCTGAAAGTTTTCAGTTCAGAAAATCTATGCCAGTTGAAGCTAGTTCAATTCAGTGCCAACAATCCTCAACCTTCCCGGCTTCATGTTTTCTGTCCCTTCTAGTCCTAACTTGCTTGATTGGAAAAGCGGCAGAAAAGGTTATGTGTTAATTTCTGTGCCATCCTAACTTTGAAAATGAAATCTGTGTTAACCAACCAAGCCAGACGTATTCAAGAGTCATACTTTTTGCCCTGTCAGCTGCTTGTAAGACTTTAGCTTTGCTGCAGTTCCAAAACAGTCAAAGCTGTATTGAGGCACAATATGTGGTGAGCAAACTCAGTGGGTTTCAAGTTGCACTGGGCTGATGGAAGCCAACATGATGCATATCTGTGTAGATATAAGCAATGTCATCTCATGAACATACAATAAACTAGTTCAAATTACAGCTAGCTTAATTTACATGCTTATTGTCAGGACTTCTGATATACTATTTGCCAGGTGTACTTACCGTATTTTTCCAACTATAAGACAATACTTTTTCCTAAAATCCTTACACTAAAAATTGAAGGGTGTCTTATGCAAGGAAGTAAGCCAAGGAGAGAACCGTGCGGTTGCAAAACTGCCCTTACTTTGTCTCTGCAAACAGGCTTTCTCCTATTGCTAGCCTCCAATCACGAGTGAAATAGCTCGACTCTGCAAACAGGCTTTCTCCTATTGCTAGCCTCCAATCACGA